CAGAGATCATCGATCAGCGCGACCAAAGCAGTTTCGGTGCCGTAACCAGGCCTGAAACCCGACTGAAACCTCCGCCACCGCTGTATTCCAGGCAGCGACCAAGGACTCCGCCGGACTGTGGGCGAGAGAGTCAGGTATCTCACCAAGCGCCGTCTGAAATTAGAATATCAGTCCCTTGTATGTGGAGTAGCATATAATTCCTAATGTCAATAACAGAGAAAAAGCTTGACTGAGGTCCCACAATAGCATTTCTTGCTCACTTAATTAGAAGAGGTAATTTTGCTCTAATCACCACCGTCCCTTGCCATTTAAGCCTCCTGATAGCTTTTAGTCTTCTTGCTCTTCCTACTTTTCTCAGAACATGAAGTTTGAAGTTATGTCAGAATGATGTCAGCTGAAACTGAGAACTCCACTTTTGGGCCAGACTCTTCTGTAACACGGAAAGTCAGTTTGTACTGTTCAGGACACCTCTGAGTAAAGTAATCCAACTTCTCTAACCCCAACAACTACCACTGAGGAATGGCAACATAGCAACACGTGGCAGAAGAGTGAAACAGCCTCTTGCCCCAGAGAAATAGTGTGGAAATCTAGAAGACGTTAATTAGTCTGAAAGTGTCTTGGTTTTGGGGAGAAACAAAGCTCATGCTAGATCTCTACCCCTGTTTCTCTTTTTTCTATCCATTCCATAGACAATGGAGGAATGTGGCAAAGCTCTGGTCTGCCTTCTTCTGGAGGTGAATGCAGATCTCCAGGAGTGTCACAAAACCTGGAACAAATATTTCATCAGGCAAGTCTCTGAAGGAAATTTTTTTTTTGTTCTTTCCCAGCTTTGGCCAATTGGTCGCAAACTGCTTCTTCAAATGTTTTGCTGTTATTGTTAGTTGTGAAGTCATGTCCAACCCATCATGATCCCATGGATAGCATGCCTCCAGGCCTTTCTGTCCTCTGGAGTCCATTTAAGCTCACGCCTACTGCTTTGGTGACTCCATCCAGCCACCTCATTCTCTGTTCTTTTGCCCTCAATCTTTCCCAGCATCAGGCTCTTCTCCAGTCAGTCCTTCCGTCTCATTAGGTGGCCAAAGTATTTGAGTTTCCCCTTCAAGATCTGGCCTTCTAAAGAGCAGTCAGGGTTGATCTCAGTGGTGGGTTCCAGTTGAAACGGGCCCGGCAGCATCCGCATGGACACGTGCAATGAGCCAAGGTGGCGCAGTGGTTAAATGCAGCACTGCAGGCTACTGCTAGATCAGCAGGTCAGCGGTTCAAATCTCACCGGCTCAGGGT